TAAACGTTTATTCATCAAATGACTTTTAATAAAAAATTTTAAAATTTTTTTAAGGATGACTTGAAATATGTATTAACTTTAGTCTAAAAAGTAATAATAAGACAAAAAATATGTTTTGAATATCATTTAAATTTAAAAAATTTATTTAAATGTCACCACTCATGCACCTTTTGAATCCACCACCTATCCCCCACCCCTTACAACATATATAGGGTCAGGTTTGACTAGCGGATCATTTGGACATCGAGTAATTGGTTGCCGGACATCTGTTGCAATAATTTGGATTATGCTACCATGACCCAAAGAGAAATTGGGATGCCCTGCCGCCTCACAATTATTTGTTTCACAGAAAGATTCAATCAATAGATTTTTTATCTTCTCAAAAGCAAGTCGATTAGTTCGATCAACAATTCCTCCCCGCGAAGCATCAGAACCGAAATTGGGATTTGCATAGTTATGAGGTTCCCGCTATGTTTAACTAACACTAATTTAAGCTAACCGGAAGGCGCTTTCTTGTCAAGCAACTCTTGGATTGAAAAGAGATTGCTGGCCTGGAGGAAGGCGTAAAGTACCGGCATGTAAGAGCTAGAAGGAAAAAGGATAAATTGCGAAAAAAAAGTTAAAACTCAAATTACTTCAAATAATTAAGATGATCAAAACTAAAACTTAACATAATTACCTTAAATAATAAATCAACCCGATCAAATGTAATTAATTAAGCTGGATAGGGAGAAAAACATTATAAAAAAAAAGAGCTAATCAAAGTTTTACTTTTGAGCTGTTTCGTTAGTTCGAGTTTTCAACTTGAGTAGAAAAGTGAATTTATGTGAAAGAAAATACTGAAACACAAAAAGTTAAATATGAATTTTTTTGTGAGAGAAAACACTATAGTAAAAACTTGAGTTTGACTCGAATTAATGAAACGAATGGAGCCTTGATTTATAAATAATTAATTTGCCTGATGAAATGTAATGAAGCTGGAACCAGTAATACAATATGCATGCTCATGTTTTCTTTTTTGGCAGAAAATTAGGGAATTTGTGAATTTTCTTTTTGTGTCATTCTCCTATATTAATATATGAAAGAAGAAAGTTAGTACAAAATTTTTGTAATGTTTTAAAAGATATGTATAAATCTTCATGTCCCATAAATAGATTTTAAAAGATATGTATAAATCTTTATGTCCCATAAATAGACATTCCTCTAAATTTTCTTTAGGTTGTTTTGAGAGCTTGTCTTATTCGTTCTGCTTTTTGAATAATCCATAATCTAATTCGATATCATCAGCATGTGAAGTAATTGGAAATTGAAAAGAAAGATGAGCAAATTTTTCATTGGTAAGAGTATTTTATACGTTCACAGAGAAGAGAAAACATATTTTATGGCCATGGATATTTTTCATTTTAATTTAGACGCTCACCATGACGGTTCTTTAGTGTACACGAACACATGAAACATAAAACTATCAGAGCTCGGGATGTAGATTGTGTGGCCCATTTCAGCCCCACCTTATCGCTAAAGAATCTCAAAAGCATTTTTTGAGAATTACTTTTTGGCCATAATATCGTTGGACAAGAATGCAACACGACATTTTTGTACTGTGATCTCACAAGCAATTGATCTCCACCTCTCCAACATGAAATGTTCTCGTCACTCTTATTTTCCACACCAATTTATATCCCCTCCTCCGCGGCTGCATCAGCACCTTCCTCCAGCCTCAGTATAAACTCAAGGGCCCTCAACACATCATCCATCTTGGGCCGTCGTTTTCTATCACTTCTCAAGCACCGATCTACTACTTTTCCATACACCTTCAAACACTCCGGCGTAATCTGACCCTCCAGATTCTCATCTACGATGTGATCAAGCGTCCCTTTCTTCACGTTAAATCGAGCCCATTGGACCAAACTCTGTTGCTCCTCCTCCAGGCCCATATCAACGGCAGGCCTACCACATAACACCTCGAACATCACCACTCCAAACCCATAAACATCAGACTTGGAAGTGAGCTGCTTGGTCCAGAAGTATTCCGGATCCAAGTACCCAAAAGTGCCCTTCACATCCGTGCTGACGTGGCTTCTCGATGGGCTCGCCGGGCCCAATCTCGAAAGCCCAAAGTCCGACACCTTGGCGACCCAATTCTCGTCCAACAGAATGTTGCTCGTCTTCACATCGCGGTGGATTCTCATCCTATGCTCTGCGCCTGCATGAAGGTAAACCAATCCACGAGCAGCTCCAATGCAGATCTCTAATCTCTGCTTTCACGTTAGAGGCTGATTATTCGTACCGTACAGATGATCACGGACCGTTTCATGTGCCATATAATCATAGACGATGATCATGAACCGTTGATCGTTGCATTAGCCGATCAGAGGGACGAGATTAGGGTTTCGGAGCTTCGAAAGCGTTTCGACTTCAGTCCAGAACTCGCGGAACCCTTGACTCGACGTTGACTTCAAGACTTGGACGGCGACGGGGCTTTCTTTGCCGTCGATGAAGCCCTTGTAAACTCTTCCGAACCCGCCGTCGCCGATTTTAAGGTCCGTATCGAAGTTGTTCGTGGCGGTTCTTATTTCATTTAGAGTGAAACGACGACAATATAAAACTTTTTGCTCTTCATCTGACTGGATAGTTCTGCGCCTTCTGCAGAAAATAGTGCAGCCCAGAAGAATTAGGATGGTTAAAGACGATAATGAAGCAACAGCAACGGCCGTAACGACATGTTTGGTGCTGCAGTTTGGTTTCTTGGGAGAGAATTCTTTGCTTGTTGTTATAGAGAGATTTGCTTTGGAGTTACTGAGTTTAAATAACTCTTCGGAAGTTGAGTTTCCGGAGACTTTGATTAATGTTAAAGAACAGATGAAAATGAAGATGAAAAGATGATGAGGATGGAGTATATGAGTTTTTCATCTTGTTGAATACAGATTCAGATGAGAATAAAAACTAGGGCATATATGAGAGTGCTGTGCGTGTACTGGACGTGTGAGGGAGTGAGAGGAGAAAGAGGAAAGATAGAGGTTGATGCCTTTTAGATTAATTATTCACGTGCCCAAGACCCAGGGGGAAGACTCACTCAATTATTGGACTTGTGAGTTCTTACATGGTGGCTGATTTAATTTTGGGACACATTGATTGGGAAAAAAAAAAAGGGGGACACAAGAACGGAGACTAGCTGGCTATTGGCTCTTTTTCTTACTCTTTCTCTCTCTCCCTCTTTCTTCATCCGGTATATATACCAATTAGAAAAGAGTATTGGGGTCAAAAGTGCCATGTAAAAGAAATTCCACGACACCGCTTCAGTTTGTGAAGAACAAGAGTGAACGAATTCCTTTGTTGTGAATTCATGAAAAAGAAAAGAAAAGGATCGTATGAACACCGAGGCATACTTCAATTTTTCTTTTCTAATAACCAATGAAGTAGTTTCATCAATAATTAAAAAATCTACTTAAGAAGTACTATGTTTTTATTCGTGTATGTTGATTCAAAAAGCTATTATTATTGATCAAAGGTGCAACAAGATCATATGATCAAATATCTGAGCTTGAAACTTAAAATATGAAGTAGGAAATGATTTTCCGTCCCCAATTCCTGCTTAAGAAAAGAAGGGGTCGGAGTCAGGAATTTTTTCCGTTGTGGGAGTCTTTTTTATATATTACCACCACATTTTTATCTAATTAATATAACAATGTATATTAAAATTATAGCAATTTAAAGAAAATTGAAGAAAAAATTCAATAAAAATTTAAGCAAAAACCAAAGGTTAACAAAAGAAAGGCACAAAAGTACTGGTTATATTTAAAAGGTATAGATCATTTATTTGTATAATGTGCATATATTTATATGAATATTGGCCAGGGAGAGTGTTTCTCCTACTATTTTTTAAGTATAAGATTTTGTTCTCATCGATGCATGCTTTTTTGAGGCAGCAGATCTCTACACGTACTACCTACTCTAATCATCAAATAATAAATCCTTTATATATATAATTCAAAAATTGTAACTATTTCCCCCTCAACAATCAAGTTGCTATAACGAAAATCGTATGTCACAAAAAAAAAAAAAAGAATTTATATAATAATTCGAAAGATCTATCCTACTAATTACTTATATATGTGTGTGTGTGTGTTTGTGTGTGATCGTAATTTGTACTCTCTTATGTAGTACTGGTTTATCATCACCATTATAAAATAAGCAAACTGAACCGAAAAAACCAGAAAATAGACCTCTAAGTCAAGGTTACTCCAAACAATTAGTTTCTTTTTTAAAAGTGGGTCTTTATTACTAATTTATATATGATCTTGACGAAGACATTCCCCCACTTTCCTGATGATTTGCATGGATTCACATCAACCACGCTCTCCATCTTAGACTTGAAATTGTTTATTTACAAAGACAGTTTATTTTTTTACATAAAAAAGTCAAAAGAAAATGGAACGTAATTAGTTATGAATGGCTTTTGCTTTTTCTAAAGAGTGATTCTATTTAATTTCGCGAGAGACCAAGAAAGATTCTCACAAGTACCTATTTTTGTGGGACTCTTCTTTATATCTCTGGTAGAGCTGGCTATGTGACGAGCCTCACAACAACTTTCAACAACTTTCTTTTTCTAAAAGCTACTTTGGATTTTAAAGGATATCCCATCAATATCTTCATTTCTTTTAGTAAAGTTAGTTTCCTATCAGAAGGTAATGGCAAATGATGGTCCAACAACAACTCAGGAATGATAGTGCAATCTTCTTGGGATAATTTCAAAAAACCAAGTAGGTACATCAATGAAAAATCTGAAGCCCATCAAATTAGCTAGTTGAGAGAATAAGCATAAAGATAAGGGGAAAAACGGACGCACAATTTACGCAAAGATCTATAGATTCAACTATACAGGCATATGAATATCCTCATGCAGATACGCCAATTTTATCGTACCAACTTGTTACTTTGCGCACCAATCTATAGTTTAGATGAACTAATTCCAAAAGAGACAACATACGTCAACTAACTCAATTTTAGATACAAATCTAATTCACACTTTCCTCTCTAATTTCAGGAGAAATCTGATTCACTCAAAATCTCAAACGTACACGATTAGCAAATAAATACATACATGAAGGCGCAAGAACACTTCATTATCAGTCTCTTTTTTCCTCTCTTTCACCAAACCTGGCAGTGTGGTTTGTCTAGGACTATCAACAACTTGTGATCATTGCCAAAATATACAACGTTAGGTAACTCCTCTATTAAAAACTAATATCTATTCCACAATTTTCTTCAGGAGAAAACTCATTCATCACTCAGCATCTCAGGTAGCTAGTACACATACGATTTTAGCTTAAAAATACACACACAAGGACTACAAACACTTTTTCTTCTCTCAATTATTCTTGGGTTTTGGAAATAGAGGCGTCTGAGAATATTTCGAGGGTGCCACTTTCACTGTCCAGACTACGAAAGCCCGATTCGGCGGTGTTGGACCCCACCGTGGTGGTAACACCGGCCCCACTTCGCAACCCCAACACGTCGTATCCGAACCCACCGTTATCCACAACCAGATGGAACGACAGCTTCTCCGGATACGAACACAGCCCGTCGGGATTATTCCCCAGCTGCGTGGCGTCCGCTTGTTCTTGCAGCTCCAACACAAACTCCAAGTTCTCCATCACCTCATGCATCGTGGGCCGTTGACTCCAATAATCTCGGACGCACCTCTCCGCCACCTCCACGAACTTCTTGAAACACTCCGGCGCAATCTTGCCTATCAAGTACGGGTCTATGATGTTCTGAATCCTCCCTTCTTTTATGGACTTCCTTGCCCATTGTGCCAAGTTTCTTTGATCCTCTTCGAGTTTGACATCCACCGGTTTACGGGCACACAACACCTCGAAAAGAACCACACCGAAAGAGTACACGTCGGACTTGTCCGTCAGTTGCCGGCTCTGTGCGTATTCCGGGTCCATGTACCCAAAAGTGCCCTTCACCGCCGTACTAACAGCGCTGTCGCCGCGACCGAGTTTTGACAATCCAAAATCGGCAACTTTGGCCACCCACTTCTCGTCCAACAATATGTTTGTCGTCTTAACGTCTCGGTGGATGACGGTATTCTTCACTTCTGAATGGAGGTAGTGCAGCCCACGCTGTTTCCACGGGAGAGGGTCGTTGTCCGTGCCATAGAGATGGTCTCGAAGAGTCCCGTTGGCCATGTAGTCGTAGACGAGGATCATCTCATCGTCGTCGTCGCAGTAGCCTATTAGGGAGACCAAATGGACGTGGCGGAGCTGAGATAACATCTCAATCTCCGCTTCGAACTCTTTCTCTCCTTGGCCCGATAACCCCTTGTTCAGCCGCTTGATTGCAACAACTGTGGACGCTTCGTCGGCCAAATGACCTTTGTAGACGTAACCGAAACCTCCCCTGCCGATCACCAACGCTTGGTCAAAGTTGTTGGTCGCCATCTTGATCTCGGCAAGCGAGAAACAACGGCAAACCTGCTCAGGAAGCCACCCCGAGGAAGTCTTCGTCGACCTGCTGGATCTTCTTTTGGACGAACCGTGGTAGCGTTTCTCCTTCCGTAGCCTCAAGAAAACTACACAGAACACCATAGACAGTAGAACAACAAAGCCAGCAACGCCACTCCCTAAGGCAATGGCCAATAGTGTTTTCTTCGACTTGGAATTTTCTGTGTTTGGATTCAGAGTTTGGTCGGATCCCTTAGAGTCCTGTAGTGGAGGGTTTGGTCCCGCGAGGTTACGATCAGAATCGCTCATCTTGAACACCTCTATGCCGTTTAAGATAGCATCCTCGTAGGTAGAATCCTCAGCTCTAGTGTGCAGATCAACAAAGAGAAAAGCATCATCCCAAATATTCACCACAAAGTCTTTATACATCGGGATCCCATTACCACCAGTCCAAACAATCACATTAAAAGCAGGATCAGCCGTGCGGTTGTCTAGATAGATTCGGAACATCCTATCCTCGGGCTTCTGGTATGTGTCTTCAAACTCGCAGAAATGGAGCCTAACCAGATAGTAGAATCTGGAGTCGACGGGCAACCTCCAGGTGATGTTGCGGAGGTTGTTGTATGTCCTGTTGTTTCCCATGGTGATGGAGGTTCGGTAGACATCATCAGGGGCAGTGTAATTTTCTATATAAGTGTACTTCAGCTTCTTTTTCGTGTCACAGGGGGCAAAGCCCAAGCTCTTGAAGTAGGGAAAGTCTCGGGTCCACAACCTGTACATGCCAGTGTCTTGATCATGCGAGATGTCGTTGCCGCCGACGTTCAACCGGTAAAGTGTCTGGAGCGCCTTGTCGGTGT